GGGGGGGGGGGGTCGTGGCTTCTGAGGCCTCTGAGGGGTCTGGTAGGGCGGCCTGGGCAATGCAGGCCCAGGACGCAGGCCAGGCCTGTGAACGCTTCTCTTGACTTGAGGAAGAAACTTAAAATTCCCCGAGTGGAGGGAAGTTAGAGGGCAGCCACCCCGGCCCTCACCCACTGCCGCTGGCCTCTCCACAGCGTCCCAGACGGTGCCAGGCCCTCTCCTCGCGTGGGCAGAAGGAATCTCAGCTTACGCCTATTTAATCAGCACCATTTGGGCGCCATCACTCAGTGATAGCTCCACCTGGCTGAAGAAACTGTTACTCAGTTTCTTCGAAGCCCTGTTAGAAGTTTCCTTTGTGTTACAAAAGTTTCCTGAAGATGAGAGGTCTGTACTGAATCCAGAGAGATCCGTAGCAATTATCCAAGTGAAAGTATTGGGGGCAGGTTGGAGGAAGGGAAAGGTGATGGCAAAGGGCACTAAAGGCCATAAAAACAGCAGATGCAAAGACCCCGAGGCCAGGGAGAGCATGATTGTTGGGGAAAAGTGCCAATAGTTCAAGAAGACTGGCGAGGGAGGATGGCAGAGAGCGGGGAGGAGGGTGGGCTCGTGGAAGGGTTGGAAGCGAGGCAACAGCGAAGTTCCAACAGCCGGCAGCTCCATTGTAACCCCGCATCTAGGGGCGCTGTGATGCCAGAACCCCTCTTCTAGACAGGGCCACAGCATCGGAGACCTTGTAAATTAATCATTCCGGGTCTACATTTTAGTTAGCACTCACGTAATTACACTCCAAAGCGTGTATCAGCCTTGAGCCACGACAAAGAAATCACCTGTAGTTTCAGAAATTATGGGTCTGGGGAATGACAGAGACATAAAGGGGGAAATAGAAGGTTTTTAATGAATAGCTGATATCGGCGTTTCCACTGTAAACCATAATTTAAAGAAATCATAATTCAGCAGCACTATAAAGTCTATAATTCATCATTCTGACTGGAGGAACTTGGATCAGAATTTTCTCTAAACTGTGAAGAAAAATGTGCATGCATATTTCTTGCCAAATGCTAATGCAGTGTTATTTTGAGTTTAGAGGGGAAAATGGGCCAGGAGCCATGGGGATGGCACCATTCCCACTCCGTTGCTAGGGACCCATAGAGACTTTTCAAAGTCCCTGACCTTTAGGGTCTCAGGTTGCTAGTTTGAACATTAGGTCTGTGTCATGTAACATAGGATATCACAAGGTTTGTTTACAATAAAATGCAGTTAGCCTAATCTTTAGTTCCTTAAAATATACATACTTTGTATTTCTTTTGACATTAATTAGGGCCATTACTGTAGAGCACACTTGTAATCTGTGACAAAAACACATTCTTGATCCAGTGATTTGGACTCACCTAAGTATGAGTTTTGCACATATTTGATAAATACCTTATAAATATATATGCTAAGTACATACATGGTATATTCATGTATGTGTTTAAGGGTCGGGGTCTACTTCAATCGTTCAGCCATATACTTTTGAGCTTCTAGTTTATGCCAAGTGCTATGGAAGACATTGTTGATTCAATGACCATAAAATACAGTCTCTATTCTTAAGGAACTTAGAGTCTAAAAGCGGAAATGAGCAAGTAAATGAGCACTGACAATATAATGATAAATGCCATGATGGGGCCATGATATGGAGGCAAATAAAAGGCACCTTACCCAGTGGGGGGTGGCAGAGTCATGGAAGGCTTCCTCTAGGGGGAGAACGGAGCTGGCTGAGGTGAAAGTTGTTCAGCCTGCGTTAGGATCCCCTACAGTGTTTGTTTCATCACAGATTGCTGGAGCCTACCCCGAAGTTCTCTAATTCAGTCCATCTGCTGTAGGGCTGATAATCTGAGTTTCTAACAAGTGCCCAGGTGATTCTATTACTGCTCTTCTGCTCACCACATTTGAAGAACCACTTATCTATAGTGGAAATAGGGGGAAATGCATTCCGGACAAAGGAGCAGCAGGGGGAAAAAGATGGAGATGTGGGAGAACACAACATATTGAGCAATGAGAGTTCATCTGACTGGAGTATAAGTTCCTACGTGAAGAAGAAACAAGATATGAGAGTCACATCATGGGGGACTTGAAAGATAAAATGAAGGGATTTCCATTGTGTCCCAGAAGGCTGTTGGGACTAGTACTATGTAGCAGACAGGCAGCCTGATCAGATTTTCACTTTAGGAAGGTCATTCTGGCTGCAGGGTAGACAACATCCTATATGGGGACCAGACAGGGAGCAAGGAATCCAAGAAACAGGCTACTGCAGTCATCTAGAACAAGAAAGGTTGTTGGCATAATGCCATGCAGTGGCAATAAGAATTAAAAGTTAGTGAGCTCTTGAAGAGATACCTGTACACCCGTGTTCATTGCGGTATTATTCACAGTAGCTAAGGTGTGGAAGCAGCCTGAGTGTCCTTTGGCAGATAGATGGATTAAAAAATGTGGTATACAGAACAATGGAATATTATTCAACCCTGAAAAAGGAAATCCTGTCATATGCTACAATATGGATGAACCTTAAGGACATTGTCCTAAGTGAAATAATCCAGTCACGAAAAGACAGTCTGATCATTCCACTTCTATGGGCTATCTAAAGTAATCAGACCCTTAGAAAAGGAAAGCAGAATGGTGATTGTCCCTGTGGGGGTAGGGGTGCAGGTGGGGAGAGGGAAAAGGGGAGTTGTTCAATAGATCCAGAGTTTCAGTTTTGCAAGGGGAAAAAAATTCTAGAAATCTGTTGCATAGCAATGTGTATGTAGTTAACACTACTGTACTGGACACTGAAAAGTGGTTAAGGTCGTGGGGGATGTTAGGGAAAGATTAAAAGATATTTAGAGATGTCATGGTCAATTAGATGTGAGAGGAAGGTGAATACCCAATTTCTGAGTATATCGAGATGCCGTTCATTGAGATCAGTAATGTATGGGGGCTTTAGCGGGAGGGGTGGAAGACATGACCAGTACAGTTTGGGGGGGTGCCTATTAAGGGTGGGTATATAGTAGATATTCTGGGTAGGAGATAAACCTTTAAGAATCATTAATGGTATATGGTGGTTAAATCCTTGGGCATTACTGAGATTTCCCAGAAAGACTGAATAGAGTGAAAGCAATACAATCAAATACCTATCTAAATTGAAATTAGTTCTGTGGCCTTTCTATAATTCTTTATTCATCAAATCTAAGATCCTTTAAATAGGATCCTATGGTTTAGTTCACAGTGTTCAGCAAAATTGTATGCATACATACATATATAAGATATGTATATACATATGTATATTATGTTGATATATAGGGTGTCCCAAAAAATGTGTACACATACATTTTTTGATAGCTCAATTGATGTTTCTTTCTTTTCAGATTTAACACATTGGAATTAATAATTATTCAAAGTGTGTATACATTTTGGGGGGATGCCCTGTATATAAGCATATATGATATGTTATACATTTAGGATGGATATATATATATATATATATATATATACACATACATACATACATACATACATATATGGTCAAGGAGGTCTGAAAACATGCATGTTTACCAATAAAAATCATAGCCTAGATAGTATAAGATTCTGAAGATGAATTAATAGGTTCACATCAACTCAGTTTCCCAAGTAATCAACCACTATTTGACTTAGAAAATCCTTAAGAGCAAAACCTTTGATTAATTAATCTTGGTGTCCTCCTTAGCATCTCACACAATGCCATATATAAAGCAGTTGCTTAGTAAATGTTTGTTGACTAAATGAATATTGTCAGACATAATTTCACATAGTTAATAACTTCCTAAACTCTATCCCCTTCAAATTTAAATAAATTACATAGTTACACACACACACACACACACACACACACACTTTGAATATCGTATTTCCAATTCCTTACTTAAAGGGGAAATAAATTCTGTTATCTCTTAGTGTGAAAGACATAGTATTTATTATTTCCTTTTTCAAATGGTTGTCCTACTCAGGGTTGGGTTGGCCAAAGTCACCACTTGAGGGAAGGCCTTGAGTAAGCCTTTCTTTCCTGGTTTCTTTTGCTTTCAGAGTAATAGTCATAGCAGAGTTCTCTTAAGACGGCTCTTACAGGGCCAGCAGAGATCCGGTTGGAACTCAAGTCTGGGCATGCTCTGTTTATTTTGTGGCTGAGGGCTTGTGTGTCCAAGTTTATTCTTGAGACCTGTCAGAAAATAATAGAATTGTTATCTGCAATCTCTGGAAATGTTTGTTTATCCTTGGAATTCCTGCTGTGCTTTGTCTGAGTCTTTCACACCACTTAAGAAAAAAAAAAAAAAAAGAACTTCTTATGTTAGAGCTATTTTTTATTTTCCCCTACAAAAATTTGGAATTCCTTGAGGAAAGGGCCTATATCTGACTCATCTTGCATCTCTCACAGCTCTTTGCTTGGCACCTTGCACATAATAGGTTCTTACCCAATAATTCGCTGCATGAATATGTGAATGACTTAATTTTGTTGTCCTAATAAACTATGGGAGAAGATAATTTCTTGTAGGGCCTCTATTTTATTTATCTCATCTCGTTATTATTGGGTGTGTGATTTCTCAGGCCCACTGTGGGCTTTGCTGCTTTTATAGAATGACAATCCACATGAGAAATTGGTCTTTTTTTAATAGAGGGTGAAATGATAATGTTGTTTGCAAATCCTGACCTAGAAGCTTAAGTTATACACACTTTGCTAAGGCTTAAGTGTTAAACTGTTTATGTCCCCCCTCCACCCCCCACCCCCACCAGATTCTTTAGATGACGTTGAAATGCAATGGTAAGTATTCTAAAAAAAGTACTGATTTAGTTTTTATAAAAAGTATTTTTATTAATTTATATGTTAGCTTAATCTTTTTATAATAATATGTTTTATTCACTCAACAAATTTTTATCAAGTAATGACGTGCTAGGTGCTTAGAATCTACCCATGAACAAACAAAAGTCGTGTTCTCATGGAGTTTACATTCTTTTGGGTATAAGTAATAAATAAAGAACTCACATATAGCAAGTTAGTGAGAAGTATTATGGTGAAACAAAAAGTAGATCAGGGCCAAGGGTGTTGGAAACGTAGTGGTGGGGACAGAGGAGACCTACGCTGCAGCTTTCAATGAGGCAGTCGGGGGCCTTTATGAAGGCAGCGACACTTAAGGAAAGGCCTGCAGGAAGTGAGGGAGACAGCCGTGCACACACCCAGGACACAGCATGCCAGGCCCAGGGAACCACGGGTTGGAGGCATCGAGTCGGGAGCATGCTTAGATGTTCAAGGAACAGCGAGGAAGCCAGTCGGGCTGGAGCAGAGGGAGTGAAAGACATGAATCCACAGATTTGCTGGGGCGGGGGGTGGTGGGGAGGGGGCAGACCATGTCAGGCCGCATAGCCATTACAGGGACTTAGCTTTTATTCTGAGTAAGATAGAGCGCCATTGCAGGGTGTTGAGCAGGGTAATGACCTTTTTTTTTTTTAATTCCCACCTGAGGAGATTTTGTCCATTGCTTTTCAGAGAGAGTGGAAGGGGGAGAGAGAGAGAGAAACATTGATGTGAGAGAGACACATCAGTTGGTTGCCTCCCACATACACCCCCACCAGGGCCAGGGATCGAGCCTGCAACTGAGGTATGTGCCCTTGGCCAGAATCAAACCCGGGACCCTTCAGTCCGTGGGCTGATGTTCTAACCACTGAGCCAAACCGGCCAGGGATCTAATGTGCTTTTTAAAGGGATCACACCGACAGCTGTGCTGAAATAGACTGGGGGGGGGCAGGAGAGCAGTTGGGAAGCCATCCTATTAACACAGCAAGGTGGTCGCAATGGCCATGGGGAGAAGTGGTTGGATTTTGGGTATATGCAGAAGTAATATGGGTGTTATGAAAACCATTATTCTGTAATATTCTCTTGTTGACAGATATTTTAATAAAAAAGTGTCTTCTGTAATGATTTCTATGAAATTTAATCTCTCATTTCGTATGATGTTTAATTGAACATTCCAAATAGGCAATATTAAAATTGATTATACTTTGATACAGCTCAACCTCAATATTGCTTTCTTCAAAGAATCAAGTCCTTTTTCTACCTAGTGTCTATTTCTATTAGTAGGGAAATAGCATCCATAAATTTCATAGATATGAAATATCTGTTATCTTGGCTGGAACATATTTCTCCTTTCCATAGCCCTATGCCCATGCTAATTCTCTCTTCTTATCACTTTATTGTTTTAGGGACATCTAGATTTTCAAAAATATCTCATAATACTCAGAACATGCAGTTATTATGAGGGTTTTGAGATTACAAAGGAGGAAAATGGTACTGAACAATGTACTGAGCCTGCACTTTTTTGTCTGTGTATCTGTATGCACACATGTCCACATTTATAGCTGTGTGCACACATGCATGGGCTGTAAACACCTTATATAGGGCATATGTTTTTAATTTTCTGTCCTTACTTGTTTTATTTTAGGCTGAGAGAACAGGTACTATTTTGCAATCCTGATTTTCCTTGCTCTATACATTCCAGAGCTGAGCAATGGCCTGAAACATGACTCTATACTATAGGAGGACTGTCCTAACCTGCTAGGGCTGCCTCTCCCCAGGACAAGTATGCCTTGGGGACAATTAAAAGAGCAACTGTAACCTTCAATCTTTTCATGGTTAAAAGGAAGAGCACCACACCCTCCTGCATGAGAATTACTGAGCCCTACTCTCCTAAACAGGGAAATAAATTCCTTCTGAAAGATGCCAAGCTTCAAAGAGCGGGAGAGGGTGTCAAACTCTAACCCTTCAGGGTCAGTTAGGAAGAGCCTACAAAGAGCCACATCTTTTTGTTCTGGTTTATTGACGTGTCTCCGTCAGAGGGCCCGTGCTCACACCCCTTCCCCCTCTCTCCGCCCCACTGTGTTTTTGCTGCTGCCCAATTCAGTGTTGTGCCTGGTCATGGGATTCCGAACCTCTCCCCTCCCCCCTTTGCTGAGTGTTGTCACTGTTAGTGGGGGATGGATGTACACAGGTGCATGGATAGGAAAAGCTGCATACACATCGGCCTTCTGATTAATGTTGCTGAGCCTTCTTCGGGTTCTGAAACCTAGAAGAGAAAAAGCAATAACTAGTTCTTTTGAAAAGTAGAATGGAGACAAAGAGAAATATTGACTATTATTTACTTTAATAAACAACTAATTCTTAAATCTCTGAATTCAAATGGTGAGCCTGTGCTGGTTTTTTAGTTCATCTTTAGTCCTTTGAAACTGTCACAGTTTCAAGAAAAGAAACCAAAACAGAAAGAATCAAAGTTCCCATCAGCAAAGCTTTTTCCCAGATGCAACCTTAGCTCATTAAGTTGGAGGAGCAAAGATGTAGCGTCCAGCTGTGAATAGTAGAATATCCAGCTGTGATGGCTCATTTTCAAACAGGTACCACTGTGAGCTCCACCTAGGGAAAGTGATCATTTTGGGATGCCCAGGACACGCACCACCGAAAGCCTGGGGCAGAGGGCAGGGGAGAGAAGGATCGGGGTGCAAGACCTGAAGGGGACTCTCTAGCCCTCTGAGGTCCCTAAGGCTGGGACCAGTCTACAGGGCAACAGGCCAGCTGCTGCTTTTGAGCTGTCAGGGAAAATTTTGTGTCACTAGCGTAAAAGCCCAGAGTGAGTTTGGGTTTTTGAGTTTAATAAGGTTTGGTTTTGCCTCTGGCTTTTGTCTTTATCACACTGTGTTTTCTTCTCCCTTCTTAAACTTCGTTTAGGCTCGGGAAGACGACCTGACTGTGATTCAGCCTCATTCTCTCTCCTTCGCAAACTCCGAGAGGCCGAGTGGAGAGATTATGTACAATGTGACTTTACCTCTGCATCCCAATCAAGGTAAGATGCACAGCAAATGATGTCTTAAGTGACCTCTTCAAGCTGTTGATGAGTCTTAAGAGCCCTGGGGTTTGTCTGCTTATACTTTCTGAATTTTAAGAAGTAACAATCATTGACACCCCTTGTTCCCAGCCTCTGAGTTAGAACCAATTGAGAAGGAGAGAGATGGTGGATAGACCTATGGGGATGAGTGTGTCGACTTTGGTATCAACAGAGCTGTGCTGGAGAACACAGTGTGTATATAGCTTCAGTCACTGGATTGAGCTCCGCCTCCCCTGTATAGAGGGAACCGGACAGACACCTGGACAGACACCAGACACGGGCACTATCTATAGGGACAGAGCCTGCCCAGTGTGGTTGTGATAGGGGATCAGACCAGAATGAGAATGTGCTAAGGACCAGGAGCTCTGCGGAGAGCTCAGAGGGGACTGAGCCACACATACTCAGTTCCTTTCCCAACTGGATAAGTCGCTCCTCTTCCCCTAGGGGAACATGGAAATGTGGAACCACAGTCAGAGGAGGGGTGGGCCCCTACCCTCAGTCCTCAGCCTTAAGATCTCTGAACTTCGGGTTTAACTAATAAGCCTATGCCCAAGGGGCATGTGACTGTCCCTCATAGGAAGGAGATCAGCTTCTATTAAGATAATTCTGCTTCTGTCTCTCAGTCTGCTCTCTCCCAAGACCAGTCACTGCCCTAAAAGTAAGCCTTTCACATGATCAAATACCCAAGGAGAAATCAAAGTCTGAAAATTAAATTCCATTACCCTTTTGATAAAATCGAAAGAAATTAAAAGTCTAAAAGTCATCATCCCTTTTTTAACCTGCTGAGTCATAGCCAGAGTCGTCCCCCCTCGGGGAGGGGTGCCAGGGAGAGATACCAGGGAGCGATGAAGCACTTCTGGACCAGCAGCCTGAATGGACTGCCTGTAAGCCCTGCAGAAGTTGAGTTAGTCCAACACCGAGCCTCAGGCGTGTCCTCCTTTGGAAGAGATAGTAGGACATGACAGATCACCACAGCATCAGCTCTGTACCTGTAAAATTTAGAAATGACAGGCGAATAGGCAGCTCCTAAGCCATTTATCACAAGCAAAGTGATCACTGTAAATCCAAGTTTTAGAATAATCCTTGTTACTGTTGCCACGATCATCACAGAGCCTAAGGAGTTTCTGAAGGGGAGAGAGGAGACAGAAAAATCTCTCTACAGCTCACCAGGAGACCAGTCTGCGCCATTTTCCCAGTGACCTTGACCTTTGAACTTAAACTCAAGGAGAGAATCTCATAATTATGGTGCAGTGTCTATGACTGCTGCAGAACTGCCTGGCCTAAGCTCAGTCGGGGCAGTAGTTTGTGTCTTACTATTGTTTATAGTTAATGATTCCTAGTCAAGAGTCTATCTAGGTTTCAGATTTTCCTCTTCTTGAATAACAGGAGAATGGTATGCCAAGAACAACCTGAGAGCCATCGTCCTAAGGGATAAAAGACTCTCACTAGCTAGCGGGAAGGGCAGCTGATGGCTCTGGAGACTCAGTCAGCCATCCAGACCTGCTGTTGGTGCTCACACGCGGTCTCCTTCTCCCCAGGCATCATCGAACACCGGGACCAGCCTCACTCTCCCGTCCGGTACTTCACACAGGCAGATGTTAACCAGGGAAAAATAATGTATCGCCCTCCCACGGCAGCCCCGCACCTCCAGGAGATCATGGCCTACTCCTTCTCCGGTAATGCCTTCTTCTGTTTTAAGGTGCCCAAACTGTCCTCTGTGGATCTTTATGGCGGGCTCACCCTAACTCTTCCTGGTCCTGTTGGGTAGTTTGGTGACGCTGCTTTATAGCTGTTCAAAGCGGCTCGAGACTTGTGGGCCCGTACGTGGCTTGGGCTCAGTTCATCCCTTTGTTTAACTTATTCACACACGCAGGAATACCTTCAGTGAATCTTTAGTTTGTGCCTACTCTGTAGCAATCACTGAGGGAGGCCTTGGATATCTAGTGGTGAGCAAAAAGAGGCATGAATCCTGTTCTTGGCAAGTTTGAGAGTCTTAGAGACAGAATTTGGTAAATAATCCCAGTAATGAATGTTTAATTTCAGACTGAGATAAGAGCTCTGATAAGTAGTGGAATTAGATGTAACAAGACTGACCTAGACTGAAGGCTCAGTGGAGGCTACCACAGGGTGATACTGACCGTGGAGAGATGGGGAGAAGCTAATAGGCTACTAGTGCGTGTTGGGATAGTTTAGTGGGAGAACATTCCTGAAGAAAGGACACACACCCCATGTGCAGAGTCCCTGGGGAGGGAGCAAATGAGGCGTCCTGGGGATTGAAAAGAGAGTCTGGTGTGTCTAGAATGTGGGTGGTTTAGCAGAGAAGAGATGGGCCTGGAGAGAGAGAGATTCCAGAACTTAGAGGTGCTGAACGCCTATCGGGATTTGGATCTTTATTCCAACAGCACTAAGAGCCTGGGGGCTTTAAGATCTAGGGGGATGGCTTTTCATAAGGAACTCTTCAATGCAGTGACATGAATGGATCTGAGGAGGAAGCCAGGGTGGATGAGCATGTGGGCGAAAGGAATACAGTGAGAAGGACCCCATGTAGGAATGGAGGGCGCAGCGACCTTTTGAGATTAAAACTTGGATTTGTCAAAAGGCTCCTTTTTTAAAGGAAGAGAAGACTAAGTAAAAGAATAAGTGCATTTCTAAATTAAACCAGCATGTACCCTTCCACTAAGCCAAGATCATCTTAATCCTCACACCCCTTATCTCTCCCCTTGACCTGGTAATCAGAGCTGCTGGCTGCAAAGCAGGAGTCTTGAGTCTCTACCCTAAATGTTTCTGTGCCTCGAAATGATTTTAAAAATCTTGAAGCTGTTTCTTTATGATCGTTAAGGTATATGTACCACATAACACAATTAATATAGAGTATTATTTTTATATGGTAACTTAATTAATATGGAATAGCTATTAATTTCTTGTGATGAGTTGAACATGGATAAAATAATATTGGAGTTACGTTTTAAATTATGGCCAACATTTAAAGTAATAATTGCCATTATTTATGTAACTGCAGTTGTCTGGGACATGATTAACTACTCAATTAGGTTGAAAATCTCTAAGGATGGGGGTAGGCCACTTCTCTAAGGAATATCCCCAGTGTTTAGTAACTGGGTAACCAATAGGCCATGCAAATGTTCATGGTTCCCTAACCCCTACTTTTCAAGACCTACTTTACAAGAAACTCAGGGTACCCTGGGATTAGAAGGAAAGAAAACATGTCAGCCATGGTTGACGTTATTTCTGTATCCATTATACTCGGCTGAGTTCCTAGAGCCTTTTTAGAGAGAGCTGAGTCCTATCCTATATAATCTGCAGGGTAAATGTCATGAGATAAATCTCTCACACTGTTGCAGTGTGTAAATCATTGTCACAGGCATCACTCAGTTCTACAATGGAATTTATCCACCAGACAGCCTTGTCAGTGATATATGACATCACCCACATTCATGGATTTATAAGGTTTTATGTACTGATAAAATGAAATCTGAATGAATGTATTATAAATCACTCTGGCTGCTGTGATATAAAATTGTTCCACTTTGTGGTTCTTTTGGCTTCTTAAAATTAGTGTTGATACCATTAAATTCAACATAACATTTTCAAATGACCTTGTAGCCTTTCCTTAAACCATAATAATTTAGATGAAAACATCCTTCACTTTTTCAACCTCGGCCCCATGTTTTATACCCATTTATTTCTGACCCCAGAATGTTTAGTACACTGATTTTCTCTCTTCTGTTCTTACAGGTCTCCCAGAATCGGTGAAATTCCACTTCACAGGTGAAGATTTTAATCTCAATCTTATTAGAAAATGAATTTTTCCTTTCCTTATTAGTCTTTTCTTTTTTGCTCTCTTCATCATTACTTCTGGCTGTTTTCTAAGAACTGCTTAAAAGTTACATAAGACAAGTTTCTTCTAAAATAATCACATGGCTAGTTAAATAGTCATAGCTTAACTTTGTATTCATAGGAAAAACAATACACCAAGGATACCAAAGGCTAGTGTTATTTCAGCCCCATTTCAGCCTGTTCAAATATCTGTTAAAAAGAGATAATAGTGGTGCCCTGGCCAGTGTGGCTCAGTTGGTTGAATGTCCTCCCGTGCACTGAAGGGTTGCCAGTTCAATTCTCGGTCAGGGCACATGCCCAGGTTTCGGGCTCAATCTTCAGTGGAGGGTGTGCAGGAGGCAGCTGATCAATGTTCTGCTCTCACATCAGTGTTTCTCTCTTTCCCTTTTCCTCCTCTCTCTATAAAAATCACTAAAAAAAAGTCTTAAAAAAAAAGAGGTAATAGTGGTTAAAATTATAGACTCTGGAAACAAACTGCCTGGGGTTCTGCCTACTCTGGGAAAGTTTCTTAACCTCTAACCCTGAATATCTTGTCCATCATTGAGAATAATAAGTAATAATTCTATTTATGTAAAGCTCCCAGGCACATTGTCATCTCTATGTGACACCCATCTAATGAAAATGGTTTTGTATAGTCTTGAATAGAGCCTTTCACTGAGTACCTTGTTATCAGAGCAAGAAGTGTTATGACCCAGAGAGTGAGTTGTGAAAGCTGTGTGTAGGAGGTCTCAGCATCCCAGCTTTCGTTCACAGTGCACTGGAACCTGAGTGCCAACAAGCAAAAGCAGAGTCAGATCTGGCATCTACGCTGGGCAAAATAGGGGCAAGCATTCTTCTTTAGGTCTAGAGTGAGGATGGTTGATTAAATGGCATTCTTAAATAGCTGTTTAGTTAGGATTGACTATTCCATTCGAATCAACCATCCATGTGGCCTGTCATATTTCATGTAGACTTAAATCTTGGTGAGAGAGAGTCACCTCCATCAAACTCTAAGACCTGCCTTTCTTCTTTGAGGATTTAAAAATACATTTTAATCAACAGTAAATTTTAGTGTTAAGTCCTTTTTTTTTTTGAGATATCATTGACATATAACATGGTTTTAGTTTCAGGTGTACACATAATCATTCAATATTTGTATGTATTGACAAATGATTACCACAATAAGTCTAGTTAACATTAGTCACCATATACAGTTACAAAAGTTATTTTCTTGTGATGAAAACTTTTTTATTGAATTTACTGGGGTGACATTGGTTAATAAAATTATATAGGTTTTTAAGTGTTTAATTCTCTAATACATCATTTGTTTATTGCATTGTGTGTTCCCCACCCCAGGACAAGTCTCCTTCCATCACCATTTATCTCCCCTTTACCTTCTTCTATGGAGCCCTAACCCTGTCCCACTGGTAATGACCGCACTGTTGTCTGTGTTTATGAGTTTGTTTTTGTTTGTTTGTTTGTTTTTTGCTTAATCCCTTGGCCTTTTCTTGCAGCCTGCTACCCTCTCCCCTCTGACAGCTGTCAGTGTGTTCTCTGTATTTATGAGTCTGCCTCTATGTTGTTTGTTAGTTTATTTGTTCATTAGATTCCACATATAGTATAAGTAAAATCATATGGTACTTGGCTTTCTCTGACTAGCTTATTTCACTTAGCATAATACTCTCCAGGTCCATCCGTGCTGTCACAAAGGGTAAGCTTTCCTTCCTTTTTATGGCCAAGGAGTATTTCATTGTGTAAATGTCCCACAGCTTTTTTATCCGCTCATCTACTGAGGGGCACTTGGGCTGCTTCTAAATCTTGGCTATTGTAAATCACGCTGCAATGAATATAGGGGTGCATAGATTCTTTCAAATTAGTAGTTTGGGTTTCTTTGGATATAGTCCTAGAAGTGGAATCATTGGGTCATAAGGCAGTTCTATTTTTAATTTTTTGAAGTAATTCCATCCTGCTTTTCACAGTAGCTGCACCAGACTACATTCCTACCAACAGGGGATGAGACTTCTCTTTTCTCCACACCCTCACCAACACTTGTTTGTCGATTTATTGATGGTAGCCATTCTGACAGGTGTGATGTGGTATCTCATTGTGGATTTCTCTAATGATTAGTGACATTGAACATCTTTTCATATATCTGTTGGCTATCTGTATGTCCTCTTTGAAGAAGTGTCTCTTCAGGTTCTTTGCCCATTTTTAAATTGGATTGTTTGTTTTTATTGGTGTTGAGTTGTATAAGTTCTTCATAAATTTTGGATATTAAACCCTTATCAAATGTGTCATTGGCGAATATGTTCTCCCAATCAGTGGGTTGTCTTTTCATTTTGTTGATGGCTTCCTTTGCTGTGCAAAAACTTTTAGTTTGATGTAGTCCCATTTACTTATTTTTGTTTCCCTTACCCAATAGGATATATCAGAATAAAATATTGTTACAAAAAATATCTGAGATTTTACTGCCTATATTTTCTTCTAGTATTTTTATGGTTTCAAGTCTTACATTTAAGTCTTTAATCTATTTTGAGTTTATTCTTGTGTATGTTGTAAGAAGGTGGTCTGATTTATTTTTTGCATGTATTTGTCCAATTTTCCCAATATCACTTATTGAATAGACTATCTTTACCCCATTGTGTGTTCTTGCCTCCTTTGTCAAATATTAATTGGCCATTAAAGCATGGGTTTATTTCTGGGCTCTCTATTCTGTTCCATTGATCTATATGTCTGTTTTTATGCCAGTACCATGCTGTTTTGATGACTGTGGTTTTGTAGTATGGTTTGATATCAGGTAGCATAATTCTTCCATCTTTGTTCTTCTTTCTCAAAATTTATGTGTCTATTTGGGGTCTTTTGCCATTCCATATAAATTTTTGGCATATTTGTTCTAATTCTGTGAAATACACCATTGGTCTCTTGATAGGAACTGTGCTGAATCCATAGATTGCTTTGTGTAGAATGGACATTTTAATGATGTTAATTATTCCTACCCATGACCATAGTATATGCTTCCACTTATTTGTATCTTCTTCATTTTCTTTCTTCAGTGTCTTATAATTTTATAAGTACAGGTTATTTACATCCTTGGTTAAATTTAATCCTAGCTAATTTTTTATGCAGTTGTGAATGGGATTATTTTCTTAGTTTTTCTTTCTGATAGTTCATTATTGATGTATAGAAATGCAACTAATTTGGGGATATTTATTTTGTATCCTGCTACTTTACTGAATTCATTTATCAGGTCTAGTAGTTTTTGGTAGAATCTTTAGGGTTCTCATCATCTACAAATAATTACAGTTTTACTTCTTCCTTTCCCATTTGGATGCCTTTTATTTCTTCTTCACGCCTGATCGCTGTGGCTGGGACTTCTAGCACTATGTTGAATAGGAGTGTTGAAAGCAGACATTCCTGTCTTGTTCCTGATCTTAAGGGAAATGCTTGTAGCTTTTGCCCACTGAGTATGATGTTGGCTGTGGGTTTGTCATATATGTCCTTTCTTATGTTAAGAAACATAAGAAAGGCCATATATTTATCTTATAACCGGAAGTTTGTACCTTTTGACCATCTTCATTCATTTCACCCACCTCCCATCCCTTACCTCTGGCAACCACTAATCTGTTCATTTTTTAGGGTTCACATGTAAATGAGATCATATGGTTTGTCTTCAAGGTCCATCCATGTTGTCTGTCACAAATTGCAAGATTTCATTCTTTTTTATGGCCGAATAATATTCCATTATATATATATGCATACACACACACACACACACACACACACACACACGACATTTTCTTTATCCACTTATCCATCAGTGGACACTTAGGTTGTTTCCATGCCTTGGCTATTGTAAATAATGCTGCAGTAAACATGAGGATGCAGATATCTTTTCAAGTAGTATTTTCATGGTTTCATTTTTTTATTTTTCAGATAAATACCCAGAATTGGGATTGTTAAGTTATATGGTAGCTCTATTTTTAATTTTGTGAGGAACCTTCACACTGTTTTCCATGGTGGCTGCACCAGTTTACATTCTCACTAAGAGTGCACAAGGGTTTCCTTTTTCTTACATTCTCACCAACACTTGCTGATTATTGTGCTTTTGATAATATCATGTCATGTGCAAATAGTGACAGTTTTACTTCCTTTCCAATTTGGATGCCTTTTATTTCTTTTTCTAGTGTTGTGTCATTGTGGTTATGAACCCAGTATCAGCTCATTTCTAGTGAGAGACTTCTAGATAATTAATATAGTCAGTGATATTATACAATAGATTATAACGTTTATGTTTTAACAAATAAATTTACAATATAAGTTGTCTTATTTAATCCTTGTAACAATGTTGTAAGGACGGGTATTATTTTTAGAATTTTAAGGCTGAGGAACTGGGGGTCATTACAGTAAGTCATGTGCCTAGGTCTCTACACCTGGTAAATAGTAGTACCAGGTGTTGGTGCACGTTTCTGATTCTGAGTATGGGATATTTAGTTTAGTCTGGTGTGGATTGTGTTGGTCATGAAAAACACGCACATATAGTGTTCCAGTTTAGTTTCCAAGCCTCAAATTTTCCCTGAAAACTTGAATAGGTAAAGGGATTAACTATTAACTTCCTTGGGCCTTAAAATTAACTGAACCTTGAACCTATTTTACAGAGTAAAGGAAATGGACCTTTGGCTGACCTTAATTTATTTTGTTTGTGCCTGAGGTTTCTTTCTTTAAAAATGTTGAATGATCGTTTAAAAATTTTATTTTAAAGACAATTTTAGAGCAATTTTAGGTTTACAACAAAATCAAAAATGTATAAAGATTTACCCTATACCCCTTAGCCCCCACATGCATAGCATACCCTCTCCCATGATCAGAATCACTCACCTTTTATCAAGCGTGAACCTACATTGACATCTCCTAATCACCCAAAGTCTATAGTTTGCTTTAGGGTTCACTCATGGTGTTGTACAATCTTTGGGTTTGTACCAACGTATGACATTTACCCATCATTATAATATCATCAGAGTATATACCCTGCCCTAAAAATTCTCTGTGCTCTGTCCATTCATCTCCCCCACCCCACCTCTCACTTTCAGCAACCGATATTCTTTTTATTGTCTTCCATAATTTTGCCTTTTTCAGAGTGTCATGAGTTGGAATTATACAATACGTTGCCTTCTCAGATTGGCTTGTTTCACTTAGTAATAATAGGCCTTTGAGATTTCTCCATGTCTTTTCACGGCTTGATAGCTCATTTCTTTTTAGTGCTAAATAATCTTTCATTGTGTGCATGTACCACAGTTTATTTATTCATTCACCCAGTGAAGGACATATTGGTTGTTTCCAAGTTTGGCAATTATGAATAAAACTGCTATAAACATCTGTGTGCAGGTTTTTGCGTGGACCCGAATTTTCAGTTTCGTTGGGTAAATACCAAAGAGTGCAATTGCTGGGTCATATGGTAAAAGTATGTTCAGTTTTATAAGAAACTGCCAAACTATCTTCCAAAGTGGCTGTGCCACTCTGCACTCCCATCAGCAGTGTATGAGAGTTCTTGAGCGTGTGGTGGTGTCAGTGTTCCAGATTTTGGCCATTCTAATTGGAATGTAGGGTATCTCTTTGTTGTTTTCATTTGTGTGTCCCTGCTCACATATGATGTGGAGCATCTTTTCATAGGCTTATTTGCCATCTGTATATCTTCTTTGGTAAGGTGTCTGTTGAAGTCTTTGGGCCATTTTTAAATAAGATTGCTGTCTTATTGTTGAGTTTTAAGAGATCTTTGCGTATGTTGGCTAACAGTCCTACATCATATGTGTCTTTTGCAAATATTTTCTACCATTTTGTGGCTTGTCCTCTTATTCTTTTGATATTATCTTTCACAGAGCAGTTTTTTATTTTAATGAAGTCCAGTTTATCGATTATTTCTTTCATAAATCATGTCTTTGGTCTTATATCTAAAAAGGCATCACATAACCCAAGGTCATCTAGGTTTTCTCCTGTGTTATCTTCTAGGTGTTTTGTAGGTTTGTGGTTTACATTTAGGTTTATGACCCATTTTGAGTTAACTGTTGTGAAGGGTGTAAGAGATTCCTTTTTTTAAGGAGAAAAACTTTTGTGGTCTGGTAGGAAGGAAGCCATCACCTTTAGGAAAATTTTGTGAGAGAGAACTTTAAATTGGGCACATAATGAATTAAGGTGACAACAAGCCCATACCCTGGCAATATTAGCCATAGAACAAAGGAGAACAGCTCATTTGGTTAGTCAGCTAAGACAGGAAGGAAAGCTGATATTCCTGAGCTGGCTGCTTCGAGATAAGCACAGATACTGTGCAGAACTGTCCTGAGCAAGGAAAACACAGCAGGTGAATGGTGCCCACGGGAGGCATCTGACCCAAAGAGACAGTCTGACTGTTTCCTAGAGAAATCAGAAACGCTGCTTAAAAAGAGGGCTGGCCATGTAATTGCTAACATTTGGATCGTAAGCTCTCATGTTTGCTTGCAAAACCCTGTACCCACATGATACATTTTCTTGGTAATAAGTACCAGAAAATAGCTTTCTTCCATTTATTTATGAGGGCAAACATATACCTTGGTCATAGTGATAGCTGTGTGATATGACCAAAGCTCTAAGTTTTGGGGCCTTTCCTTTCCTTTCTGTAAGTAAGGATGTTGAAAGCTCCCTGAGGTCTTCCCATTAAAAAAATAAAATTAATGTAAAACATTAAAAAAATTAAAATTATATTATGCAATTATTTGTTTTTATTTAACTGAGGGGTTTGTTATTTAGATTCCAAGGACTTCAGAAAATTCCAAATTTATGAAAATTTATGAAAAGTTAGTATGTTTGTCCACAAACCCCCAGAAGTTAAGAATTGTCTTTTCTTACCTTTGAGGATCCAGAGAGAAGACTGAGCCTAAACAAGGAATCAGAGGCAATAATTTTGACATTTGACTGGATGACCAGAGCCCTAAAACCTTTATTCCTATAGGAATTGTGTCTTCTCTCCTTTAATGGGGCTATTTCTGGACTTCTCTTGGATATGGAATGTACCTTATAAAATCCAGGCAAATCTTTTAGATCTGTCCTCAAGGAAAAGAGACATCTCAAATGTAAATGGAACCATTACTAGGAGTCACTGAGCAATGCTTTACTTTGCTTAAGTTCAGCAAAGTAAAGATTCCTATTGACTGTTACTAAGTACAGATGAAAGTGAAGAAGGAAACCAGTTTGTTATAACCAACCCGTATACAAGCATAGCACACATTTAAAATAGTCAATAGTAAATAAAGTTAAAAATAAGTAAAAATAAAATAAAATAATCAATAGTACAGTTCTCTCAATTGCCACTACAAATAAACACATTGATGAGCTGGTGGCCAGGCAATCCTCCTGGCTTTTAGAGAAGAGAGGGTGTGTTAAGTTGTGGGGAAGTGGAAATAAGAGTAAAGAATCAGGCAATTCTGCTTTCACTTCCCTCAGGTGATCAGTATTCACTTGGATGTCAGATAACCCAGGGAAATAAAATCTAAAGTCACTGTTTTGTTCACGAAGGTGTCTTACATTTGCCGCATTGTGCATAATGACCAGGGAAAAATGGGTCTGCTCCCTTCCAAACAAATGCCATTAGAGACATTTGTATGGACATTTCCTGTCCTCTTCAAAAGTTATTTTCTCAAGGGACATAAACACGTCATTTCTAAAAGAGATTTCTTGAAAAAAAATTTCTCTGGAACATTGGAAGGCTGAATTTAATCAAAAAATAATTCCTTAAATAAAAGCCTTTACCAGCTTCATCTAAAGGGACAAATTTTGTATTGCTTTCCTTCCCCTAACACTTACCACTTGCTTCTCGGAGTGGACTTGCTGCTGCGGCCCCTGCCCCTTCGGTCCCCCATAGGAGAGGCTGTGTTAGAAGAGCGCCCAGTGTCTTGCTTGCTTTCCCGTTGTCGGCACCTCTTCAAAGCATCTGTACAACTTCTGGCTACTCGTTTGTGGAAGGAGCCTGAAGGCGATGTGCCGGCAGCACTAAGTGTGTGTCCTGCCCTTTCTAGTTTCGGACGGAGAGCGCACGAGTCCCGAGATGGCCCTCACCATTCACCTCGTTCAGGCCGGCCGGCGCCCCCCGGAGGCCCAGGCCGCAGCGCCGCTGCTCCAGGTCCGCCCCGGCGGCAGGACGCCTGTGGGTAAGAGCTGCAGCCCCACAGGAAATGGCTGTGGCGGTGGAGCCGTGTTTCGGCAGTGTCCTGTTCGCACCCCAGCTGGTCACCGAGAAGTAACGACCCCCGCTCCCAGAAGGCGCCGGCACCCGCCTCTGGACCCTTCCCTCCGCCCGATGCCTTGGAGACAGAAGCAGAGGGAGAGAGGGGGATAAATCCTTCAGAGGCCAGTGCTCAGTGATGGGCTCCAACACAGAATTTATTTTCCAGCCTCCAGGAGACTGATTTGTGGCCCTCACTAAAGTGTAGAGTAACGGAGAGCGGAGAGAACGGGGGAGCAGTTCCGATGACTCCCTTCGTTTCCTATTTAGAAAGTAAAGAGCAGCAGGAGGAACGACAGGTCACAATAGCCTTCGGAAGTTGCGAAGAGCTGGTGGTGGCCAGTTCCTTGGCATGTGATTTGATTTGCCCGTTACTGTACCCCCTCTTTAGAAGCGTATGCTTTCACCAAGGACATCGTAAGAGCAAACGGGTGTATCTCGTTTTGTTAGGTGTGCTCTCCAGTCCTTATCCAGGTTCTACATGTGGGTATTGGCCTCAAGTTAATTGTCACCCAGCTTAGAAACAAGCCATATGCACAAAGACAACTGTCTCTTTCACCCTACTTCTCGCTGCAGTGATGGCCGGAGCAGCCACTGTTAAAATAACTTGGCTCTTACGTAGATTCAGAGAAAGAAGATGGGAAGAAACAATGAAAAGCAAAACAGTTTCCTGGGGGTAGTTTCTGGAAGAAAACCTACCCGATCCGGTCGGGACTGATCTTTTTATAGGTTTCCCTATTCTCATTTGAATGGCAGGAAAAAAAGGTGTTCTGAGTTCAGAACTACCTACTTACAAGTTAACTTGTGGAAGCACCTGCTTGTAATTTGGGGATGGACTATAGTATTTTTCTCTCCTTTGTGGTTGATTGGAATTAAATAATGTTTTCCTATAGCTATCAAATTACCCACAACATGACTTCCAACCTGGCTTGTAGCTTCAATTAACACAGAGAATACAGGTTTTTTGTTGTTGTTTTTTAAAAATATATCTTTATTGATTTCAGAGAGAGGAAGGGAGAGGGAGAGAGAGAAACATCAATGATGAGAGAGTCATTGATCGGCTGCCTCCCGCACGCCCCCGACTGGGGATCAAGCCCGCAACCCGGGCATGGGCCCTGACCGGGGATGGAACCGCGATCTCCTGGATCCTAGGTGGATGCTCAGCCGCTGAGCCACCCTGGCCGGGCGCGAGAATGCGGTTTTTAATGTGCACACTTTCTCACCACCCTTATTCCCCGGCCTGCAGGACTGCAGTGGGCAGGAGGAGGCGCCCGCACAGCGCCCGAAGAGCTCCTGTTTGAGCTGCGGAAGCCCCCGGAGCACGGGGTGCTCCTGAAGGACACAGCCGAGCTCCCAGGGCCCCTGGCCGCAGGTAGCTGCTCGCTCTGGCCCTCACCTGCTCGGGGGGTTTCTTGCTCTACCGTCAGTTTTGCGTGTCTCAGACAAGAAGTCAGCAATTTTGTGGGACAAACTCTGAGGAGATACTTAGAAAGGAAAAAAAACTTCAGTGTTTAGTCCACTGGCTGAAATATTTGGGACTTCCTTCTCTGTGCCACTTCCCATGCCCAAAACTATGAAGCTGTTTCCTCAAATTGTAGGTGAAATTGGTTGATTTCTGAAACCTGGGGTAAACGCATTTTGAACAGCCTCATATGAGTTGTCAGCTGCCACTTTCCTATGGGTTGTTCATGGACATGAATTTGTTTCCCTTACTGTGGTATGTAAATCTTCACGGTATTTATAGCACTGTGATTCTAATAGTGTGAACTACATGTGTCTTCATTCATAAAAAAGGAAACACATTATTAAACTAGTATTTATGCAATATAACAGTGTGGTAATATGACCAGCTTTCCAGAATAATATTTACTGTGCTTTCTCCAGTTATAAAAAATAATATATATTGGTTGTTTAGAAAGTACTGGAAAACACAAAGAATATAACTATATCTAATTTTTAATACTCATCTCTTATATATCAACGTAGATATTATCCTTTTGAAAGTCATCACCTTGGGATACTATGTGCTTATTCTGACAGTCTTTACTTTCTCAAAATCTTTATATAATTCCTAGTTGTCATGTAAAAATGCATTATTCTGAATATCCCTGCAGAGGTAGGGGGCAGGTCTTTGACCTTGAAGGCAGATTGAATTTGTGAGAACAAGCAGTAGGCACTTGGGAGTCACAAAGGCAGGTTTTTTACAAGTTTACTGAACAAAAGAAGGGTTATTGGAATAGATTTCTAGTACCCTAAGGGAACTACTTTAGGATCATGATAGTCATAGCCCAGTTTTGTGAGCATTATATTTCACCTCTATTTGTGTAATTAACATAGAGATCCAAAGATGTTTGTGAAATGTTCTTTTTAATGTGTTACAATAAACTTATCAGTCTTATTACTTTTTTAAGCACAATGCCACTAGCACCAGTAAATCACCATAACACAATGTTGAAAGAGTAATACAGAGAATAAATAAATTCTTTAGTTTAATTACATAACATACCAGTGATGAGAGTCAATAATCTATCAGGAAATAGAGTTGAAAATAACATCTAAGGAGACCAATACCTCAACTGTGCTCTGTGGAATTGTTGGGACCCATGACACTAAGTGGCATTTCTCATAAAACGGGCTCCTTGACCAAACAATTTTGAGAAGCTTTAATATTGTATATTAAAGATTCTAAAATTCTAATAAATCCTGCAGTTTAAAAGTCAGAGAAAGACAAGTGCCATATGATTTCACTCATATGTGGAATTTAATGAACAAACTGAACTACCAAGCAAAACAGAGACAGACTCATAGAGCGAGAGCAGGCTGACAGCTC